TCTCAGTTTCCATGTCCACGGGCCCACAGCCTGAATTCAACAGAACATTGTGATCATGGAAAAGGAGTAGCCGTACGGGATTGAAGTTGTTGGACCGGCTACTTTCCAGAACGTACCTTGATGTACAGCTCTACAGTTGGAGATTGAGGTGCGGAAGCGAGTGAGAAAGCATGCCATTCATTGAAGGTACTGGAGAACGTGGGCGAGGAAATACGCACCCATTGCCCAGAACGGAAATTGAAGGAAGCTGGTCGCTTGAATTGAAGATAGATGATATCTGTAAGACGTCCAATACTTAAGTCTTGTTAAAGCAGAACGGGAGCTCAGAACTTCAGGATGAAGGGCATGTGAAAGGACTCCTTGTGCAAAACTGGATATCCTGCAGTGGAGATGAGGACACTGCTGAATACATCGTTTAGCCTTCGCGGTGGCGCGCGTCGACGCACTACCATTGCAACAGCGCTCGAACGCTAGAGATGGTAAGTTACCGGCGTAGGTCGCTACTGTTTCAAGAGAGTATAGGGTGACAGGAGAGTACCAGACTGCTCTATTAGACACGTACCTCCCTCCTTTTTCCTATAACGCTCCTCAAACAACTGGCGGCCGCGCCGATGGAATACCCGCCACAGCGCGACATAGCGCGGCAACACGCGTCATCGCGCAAGCTTTCCACTACCCCAAACTTGCAGTCGGCGGGCACGATCAAGCGTGTTCCTGAACCAGATCGCGGGGCACGAACTTCAAAAGGCAGTTGGCGACGATGAAAATCTCCAAATACGGACTAGGATCAGTACTCCTGGCAGGATAGAATTCCGCGACCCTGGGCAGGCGCTGCATAGCGGTTTCCCCGAGGAAGGTGCCCTTATAAGGGCCCTATCAAGCCACAACATTACGTCCCAACGCCCGCCCCGCCCACAAATGGATTCACGACCGCTTCCGATCCGCTCGTATTTCATTCATTTGTTAGGAAATTATGAAGCGAAGGGACTGGTATGAAGCGGCCGTGATGCTGCATGCATATATGGGTACACATATGCAGCCGTATCTTCGGTAGCGGTGATTGGCAAGATGCGTACGGGAAACTCGTCCGAAATCGATTTTCAAGTCACTGAGAACGGAGGCTTTTTCTTCGCAGGATTTTGACCGTTTCACTCCGTTCTTTCGCCATTTCCCACTTACCAGCGCACTTTCACTATACAGCGCCCCACTAGCATTTTGGGGCTAAGTAGGAAACCATCGTGCCAACTGCCTTTGAAGTCGATGACGCTGCGTTCTCTTTTTTTCATAAGGAGTCCTTCGAATGCCGCTAAGGCAATCAGCTCTGCAGAACGTTCGCTAGATAAAAACTGTAAAATCAGCATTACCGGAAGGTAGAAGCTCAGCATTAACGATGTTCAATTCCTTATATTTCTGACGCATTCCTATGATCTGGTCGATAACAAAGACAACCACTGGACCAATGACATAACTCGAGAACGTGGGCGTCTGTAAAACATCCACTCTATCGTGGGTATTAGAACGGAAAAAGAAGGGCAATCAACGGGGTACGGCATCGTGATGTGTGAAATGGTGGTGTAGGTACGACCCCCCCCCTTTCCCAAGCACCTACCTACCAATTTCCCACATTTTCCAGTTTTTCACCCAAAGATTTTCCGTTGACCGCGGCAGGGGGAAGTACACATGAAACAGGAAAAATCACGCGAAAAGTCAACAACCGGGAAAAATTTTTTCCCAACACAGCAAATTTCTCTTGAAGGCACATACGACCCTCCCCCCTCTCCCAACGACCAAATACGACCCCTCCCCCTCCCCAGCGAAAAAAGTGCGATCCCCCTTACGTGTTTCACATAACGATGCTGTACCCTGGCTATCAATACTACTGAGGAATCCAGTATAGTGTGAACTTTTAACAGTATTCAATCTTTTCAGACTGCGCCATAAGCATGTGAAGGGCCCAGACAAACGGGAACACTTAGAACTCGAAATAGCTTGTCAAAAATAATGGCTTTCAAAGTAGCAAAATCTACTAAAATAGTAAAATAATGAAAAAAAAACAAATTGAGTAAGAGCAAGTGTATTCCATGTCCTGGAGATGGGATGCTGTGGATGCGTTTGAATTTGAACATAGCAAATAATGCTTCCGTGGTATATTTGTTATCCTTGCCTTGTGCTAGCGAAGGCAGTGGATTAACTTCTCCACGGAAATATTCCCACCGAAGCGCCGCCTTTATCGAATGGAGATACGTCAGACACGCCCTCCCCTCCACGCAGATTCATAGATGTTACGCTCATTACGTACCCCGAGCAATCGTGGTATTCCGTGCAGTATTGTCAGAGCGTAGAAAGCGATATTGAGCAGATGAGTGAGGCTGAAATCGAAAAAGTTCGGAATCAGTAGCTATGCTATGTAAAAGATTACTGATTTATTTTACCGGAAAAGCATGATATGCCCTCCTCATAAAAGCAGGAAGCGCGAACACATAGATAATCGACATAACAGCAACAAGAAGAATGCCAGTGAAACCGGTGATCGTGCCGTAAAACCAGTAGCTAATCGACGGTAGAAAGTTTGACCTGAAGCAGACTTAAGACTCAAGAAGGTCCAAGGTAAGCCACTGACGCGAGGGCTGATTAATGTTAGGCTTGAGACCTTTTTCGCGATTGTAGCAACAAATAGTTTAAAGTGATGCATAACGCACGGTGCTAGGACGACCGTGATGAGCGACTGCATTCTAGCTGGTTAACATACATAATGTTTTAATCCTCTTCCTATTTTAAATATGAGAAATTTTCATTATTTTGCTTTGCCTATTGGTGGTTTTTGGTGTCATTCACTTCTCGCTAGACGAATCGTGTGGCGCATCTGTTGTTAAGTAATGGCGCATTCATGCGTGCCGTGCGTTTATTTCGAGCCCACTTAGAGGCAAACTCATAACCTCCGTATTCCTTGGTCTGAACATGTGTGAGGTGCAAGAGCTCCGCACTGCTAATAGCGCTTGCCACTTAATTCCGACAATGTGCGTTGGAACGACGGACCGAACGGAGGAGTGGGAAGGGAGGGGGGGGGGAAGAATCAAGATTGGATTATACTCGTACCCTCTCTGTTCTCCTACACCTCTCAAAAACACTAGCGGCCGGCTCCGATCGATACCCGCCAGTGGCTGCGCTTCCGTCTAGCACTGGAGAACTGTTGCAATGGTAGCACGTCATAGCACGCGACGTAGCACGCCATCGCGAAGTCTGAACTGCTTAAACTTAAGGTGGCAGGAGTTCAGGCGTTCTTAAACAAATTTAAGCACAGTACACCTATTTGGACAACGCTGCTTTTCCTACATAAGGTAAAACGTTGATGGAACAAAAGAATACCGTGAAGTTGGTGTTATGAGAGGGCAGGAGGGTACGACTGCTGTCTCCATTCTCCGCTCGCGCTATCCTTAATGTGAAGCACTTCCATCCCTACCAAGATCTTGTAGCGAAACATGCAGTGGTAAAGAACAAGGATGAGCAATGAACGGACGCAGACAAGAAGCGCGCTTGGTTATGGTTAGGCGTGCGGACCGTGCGGCAGGGCGAGCGGAGATGGAGACGGCACCCTGGGTATCACTACCCTCCAGCCCCCTTCCCGCGCACTCTACACCTGCGAACCGATACTCATGGAAAAAGCCAGAATTCACAGAGCTGAGTGGTTAGTTCGCTTTTATCTACTGAACGGTGCGCCTCAACAAATTAAACCACACGGCAGCTCGACGGTGCACTTGCGGTGACTACTTACATTTATGTCTACCAGTTATTTCAGATAGGACAAAGTAATATCGCGACTACGAAGACTTCAAGGGAGCTCTGGAAAAAATAAAAAAAATGACAAATCACTGCAAATCAAGAGCAATTGGCGGAAAACCACATACTCAGCAACCGCTTGTTGAAACAAACACTGAAGTCCTTCCCTGCTTTGTGAGGCTATATGATAGAAGTTCACACAGTGACTGATCGTGTGTACATAGGCCCAGAATGCAGCAAATAGCGCTACAATCTGAAATGAAAAGGGACCATGAGAAAGAAAAGCAACCAAAGAGTATTAATGAGGTTACAATTCAATGAATACTAAAAACCTTGTGAAAACCGATAGCAGAATCGAATGGAATAAACTCTCCGAGAGTCGTTTCTCTGACGACCGTGATGATGTTGCGACAAACCGTTAAAAGCACAACAGCCATACAAAACGACAGCGCACCAGCAGCACCACGGCTTATAGCTATTCCAGTACCCGTCACCCGAGCGGAGTCGCGGTGCGCATTCTGATAGCGGTGGACTGAAAAGATCCAGGTCATATGGGGACAAACGAATAAACTGTAGGAAGTTTAAGGTTGCTTTCATACTCTGCGGCAGGGTCCACCAGCATAGAGTAGCGTTCCGAGCGTCCGGCAGCGTCAGCGACTAGGAAAGTATAGATATCGATCTAGCGTCTGCCAGCGTCTACCAGCGTCCACCAGTCTCGAGGGCTAGGGAAGTATAGATGTCGATCTAGCGTCTGCCAGCGTCTACCAGCGACCAGCAGTAGACTTCTGGTAGAGAGTATGGTGCAATAGGAGGGTAACAGGCGTCTGCTACCTCCTATCGTACCATATTCTCTACAAACAGTTTATCACCCTCCTGTCTCCCCGTACCCTACCAGCTGTCTGCCACCCTCCCATCGCGCCAAACATTCCACTGCCGGACGATGCTAGACGCTGGTGGACGCTGGGAGCTGGCACACGCTAGATCGATATTCACACTTTCCAAGTCGCTGACGCTACCGGACGCTAGTGGACGCTGGTAGACGCTTAGTGGCGCCTAGCAAAGTATTAGGTTGTCCGGAAAGTTCTCAGCGTTTTGGGTGTTTCACTTTAAACGATCGTAACTTTTTTAATACTCATCGGATTTAATCGAAATAGGCACCATTCGAATCAGCACACTTTTGCCAATGTGACAGCAGTCGAGAAATCCCATAAAAGGAAAAACTGGGTGGTCGAGAATCCACGAAATCTACGAAGGTCTTTTTTGCCTGGTCCTAATTGATGAAGTATTTTTCAGCAAGGAAGTTCTGAAAATGTTTGAAAAGGTGATAGTCGGTTGGTGAAAGGTCTGGAGAATATGGGTGAGGTAGAACTTCAACCCAATTCGTTCAATTTATGGATAGTGATTTGTGAAACGTGTGGGCGGGCGTTGTCATGCAAAAGAATCGGACCCTTTCTTTTGATAAGTGTTGGCTGCAGCTGACAATATTTTCGGTACATTTGGTCGGTTTGTTCACAGTAGGGTTCTGCTGTGATGGTTTGGCCTGGTGATGAAAAGTTATAGTGGATTACAACCAGCCGATGACCACCAAACCTGACCAGAATTTTTTTCGTGAGGGTTCGGCTTTGAAAATTACCTCGGTGGTTCGTCAAATCCAACCACTGTCCGGAACGTCTCCTGTTATCATACATGATCCATTTTTCATCACAGGTGACAAATCCGTTCAAAAACGGGTCAATTCTTTTGCGCAAAAGCAGTGAAGAAGGAACCTCGAGACGTGCCGATTCCTGCCGGTCACTCCGATTGTGGGGCACCCAATTGTCGAGTTTTTTCACCTTCCCAATGCGTTTCAGACCATCTGCAACAGTGGATTTGCCAACGCCTAGCTTTTCTGCAATCTCTCGAACTGTTTGGGATGGGTCAGCCTCCAAAATCCCCTAAAATCCTCGTCAGATATTGCTTTAGGTCGACCGCTATGAGGTTCATCTTCAAGGCTGAAATCTCCAGAACGAAATTTGTTGAGCCATTGCCGCACAGTGCTTTCTCTAGCACTATTGGGCCCCCACACCTGGTTAATTTGTTGAGCTGTTTCGATTGCGGATTGCCCCAATTTATAGTCGAAGAAAAAAATCGTCCGAAGTGCTCTTTTCACATGCTTGAAAAAATCTTGAAAAAAGGGGTTTATCAAGCAATGGTGAAACGGCAATTATACCATCAGATAGCGCAAGAAATTCTCTACAGGATGTGCTACTGAGAAGCAAGGCAGAATGAGTTTTTAATCAGCAGTGAATGTACAAAAAATAGGTGCACAAAACGCTGAGAACTTTCCGGACAACCTAATATGAATGTAGCCTCACGAGGAAAAGGAGCTAAGCACCGAAATACCTAAAGAAAGAAGCAGTTCTGCAAGAAAACTTCTGGATCCCTCATGGATCCTCAGACTCCTCCGCAATAAAGTTTTAGGTGCCCTTTCATATCTTTACATTCAGATTCTAATGAGGCCGACATTCGAGGTAAAGACTCTGATGAGGACGACAGAATGAGCTGTGATAAACTCACATCGGAATCGATCCCAGAAAATCATCAGATTAACACAGCAGAAAATAAACAGGATGAAGATGTGCTGACGGTAAGTGCCGGTGAAAGCTGCGATTGTGCCGAAAATACTGCGATGTGCGGAATGGTCGTCAGAAGTCGTGGGCACAGCAAAGGAGTTCAATGAAGCCGTTCTGTATGAAAAAGGAATAATTCGGAAAAGGCAATGACACACAAAAAAAATCAAGCTCGTTAGATTGGTCTCTGTGCAGTCAAATTAACAAATATTCATCAAAATAGAAGACCTTCATACGGGTTTAAAGACAGCCACCGCTCTCGAGAAACTCGTAGGTGTCCTCCCTTGTACAAGTAGTCTAGTCTCTAAGACTATTCCTTATCTGCAGCTTTACAGTACTAATGGCGCTGTAGCCCTCATATGTGGCAAATCTGACGTCCTCCTAGTTGTACCGCCTATCAAGGGCTAATGCCGTTTGGACTCCAGCAATTTCGGCACCGAGCTCATTTTTAAATTGCCTAAGTCACCAAATCCGCTAAAAACTTGTATTAGGGGTAGTTAACATCCTGATTACGAATATGACATTCACTCTTGCCGCTGGCGCTAATGGATGACACTACGATCTCCGCTAAGGCTGAGCCCAAGAGGTAATCGTAGTGTCATCCCTTGGCGCCAGCGCCAAGAATGAGTGTCATAATTGTAATCACGATGGTAAATAACCCTTGTGTACATGTTTTCAGCGGGTTTGGTGACTTAGGCAATTTAAAAATGAGCTCGGTGCCGAAGTTGCTGGAGTCCAAACGGCATTAGCCCCTATCAAGGTTCAAGTGCTGTCTTCCATATTCAATTTTCACACCGTGTTTTCCAATATTCTTCCCTGATGGTTGGCACTAGCACTGGATGACGCGAGAAAAGATTAGTGAGCCGGAGGATGCAGGATATCACTTTGCTGGCACAAAAGAAGCAGGTCCGGAGGGTGAGGCTACTAGGAGTCCTTACCTAGGTGTTTACACGCTTTGTTTCTTCCCTGGAGAGCCACATAGCGACTACAGGTTCGTGATTTAATGTCACTATCCTCAATGTGCTGACGCGAAGTCTGTTTTGAGCGTTATTGTAGCCACCGACATTTTATTTTCCACGATTTTCTTTATTTTGCTTCTCGGGGTTCGATATATGAGATCCTCTTCCTCTCCGTTTCGTTTCGAGGAAATGACTTGCGCCAAACTGGCTTCCTCTTTGGCGCGGAGCTTTTTTCACCATCTAAGAACGAAGTACAACTCGTCGTCCGTGATTGGTTCTGTGCGAAAAAAGTTCCCATGGTTGTTGTCTTTCTGTTTCGCTTTTCTCCTTCTTCTGTGGTGAGACGTTAACAAAATCATGCCTCCACATATGGGTATGTCCTATGAGGGTTACACGCTGTAAAATCAGATATAGAGCTGACAATAAAGTAGGAATTGGATGAAAATTGAAAACAATCACTCCTCTAGATTCATCTTGAGTTTCGCTCCACGCAACTCAACGCCAACGGGACGGCCCTTCACGGCTTTAGTGAAGATCGCTTCAAAATCTGCGGTTGTTCAAGTAATCCGAATGATGCTCGATTCCTGAAAAAAAGCCTGAATTGAAGGTCGAAATTTGGTATTTGTTGTACTCATAGGGAGGTATAGGATGGGCGTCCACGATCGGTTGTATCAGTCCATACTGGACTCTCGATGGGATATGCTCTCGATGTACTGCCGCACCAATAGTTTTTACCACCCTATGGCGCTGTTTAGGGGACTAAGTGCTTTCAAGCATTGTTTTTGATAGCTGTCAAATTATTGCGTTGTAGTACTGCTGTGATGTCAGAGGGATAGGAGCTCGTCGCTGTGT